TTTTAAAATTTTGAGTTTCTCGGATAAATCCGAAGTGACGAAAATTTGACCGGCGAGTGTTTCTCGGAATTCATCGAATTTATCCGAAAACACGGAACCTACCATACGTCAACCCAGTCTCGTATCGCAACGTTCCATGAACCGTTTCTACGTAATCACCCACCATTTGTGCTCACGATCTGTACTTCGCTGCGGGAAAGCGTTTTCGGTGTAAAGAGTCACTCACCATACGTTTTATGTTTGCCCTGGATCTTTCTTTGTTTTATCAGTACGTTGAAATACTTGGGTTTGCTTTCACCGTTTGTACTTAACACGCATACGGTGATTTACTTTTTTTTACATTTTAAACATTTCCCCGACAATGAATGACAGACGCTGCGTGCAAAGCGCGGCCTATGTTACACAAAAAACGATGTCAGATATTGTATTTTTGTAGTGTTTCCCCTTCGCAGCTGGGGGACTCTGATCAAAAATACTAGCGTACGGGAGTGTGCTTATGGGGGGTATCCTCGTAGGGTATAAAATTTGGTAGTAACAAAACTTAAAAATAAAAAGAATTTGAAAAAAAAAAAACAAAAAAAACGCGCCGATGTCGTGTTCCTGGTATGCCGCGCAGTGTACGCGCGTGTACAACCTTTCCAAATATTTTTTGTGATATACTTTTTTTTAGTTACGCGAGTTTGTTTTTTTATGCGCATTAACGCTTAGCGAGCACGCCTGTGAGCTTCACAGCTATGCAACACGGCAGTTTGCGGCACACGTATACGAACGATGTCAGGGAGACGTAGAAAATGTTACGGAATGTCCTACTTCAACGAAATTAGTCGCTACCCTTCCCTTCATTCATTCATTCATTCATTTATTTACCGGCTGCATTCACCTCCAGGTAAAACATGTGCAAACAAATGAGTCAGAACTACACGTCTATTTTTTTTTTCTTCACGATATCATTGACGGCGGAGAATGTATATATATACAGTGTTGTTTAAAATTTAACGTTGTAAAAAAAAAAGATATATATATATATATATACAAAATTAAGCAAAACATTATAGTTTAAACACTCTGCGTCAGTGAATCTGCGCAAGCCATTTCACGTGCTCATGTCACGCTCTGAGACACAGTGCAGCCTGTTCTTTTAGCTCTAAACACATCAGCCTCGTCAGTGGCCGCGCTTCGTCCATGAATAGCAGCGATTGGCTGCTTTGCGGAAACGCTGACGCACTAGATTATTGGTAGATGGTATCGTTTTCGCAAACTCGGCACGCAGTAAGCATGAGTCCCAAAGTTTTAACATTTTGCAGTAATTAGAATCGTCATGTAGCCTCGCTCGAATTGTACTCAGCACGTTACAGCGTTTTGCAGTTTATGATTATATGAATCAAGGCACACACGTCATTCTGTCGCACCGCTCCACAGCGACGGGAATGAATCCGCTCCTCGTGGTCGTGGCGCGTTTCGGTGTGCCGAAATTTTTAGTTGCGGAATACGGATGTTTATGTTATATCTTGAGCGCCCGACGTATGTGAGGAAGAAAGGACAACCGATGTGGTATTTTGACGGGCCTCCGTAGCCGACGCCGATAAATGCGAGCAGTCGATCGGCCGACACGGTGGGCGAATCAAAAGATAGCACCGATCCGATATCCCACCAGCAAAACAATGGCCAGAGGGTGCCGAAGCACGTGCGGTTGTTTTTCGACGCCGTAAATATTTATCCCCGAGGACAAAGGAGGGCTCTCTAAAACTGCCCGCGCACCCACTCTCCCGCTGAGAACTCGGAAAATGCCAATGACCGCGATCCACGGAGGGAAGTCTGCCAATGATAGCACCACGCTACATGCATGACGTTGTCGATAGACCAGTGACTTAAAAGGCAATGTGACGCCGTCTTGCATCTTTCCGCGCATACGTAACCGTTACAGCTGAGAGTTTTATATGTGTCTGTATTTGTACGTATTCAGTTCTCACTGACAGCTTAAGAAACACCGTGCGTATAATTAATTGTGCTCAATCTTCTTGCTTCGTGATTATTTTTTTTTTTCGAAATTCTTTTCGGCTAATGTCACGACCTCATTGGCTCTGGAAAGATAATAAACTTTCGGACTCATCCCACTCTGCGTCTCATAGGCTGTCGGTGGCACACACGGAGACCAAGTCGTCTGCCTGCGCGGGAGTTGGGGTGACGTCAGAAGGACGCCGAACTCTAATTGGCTCTGATCGAAAGGATAGTGGATAGAGGCCGATGCTAGACGCCTCGAGGTCTACCCACTATTTTTTTTTTCAACCAGCCAATAAGAGCTCAGCATTCTGACATCATCGCAGCCCCCGTACAAGAAGCAGACGAACTTGCGGTCCGCATAGCTCTCGTCGTGTTCGGTATTACATCGTATAGACGTTAACCTTTTTCGAGCTTGTACCGTATTTTTGCACCCGACATCGGCTGAGCTGCCGCCTCCTCCGTCAGTCGCACTCATTGGCTCCTCGAGTGTTTCTGCGGGGAAAGTAGACGCACCGACGCCCTTTAGCGTACACGCGGCTAAGCTCGGTGTGCTTCGGGCATAGCGTTTCAGCAGACGCCCGTGATAAGAACCCGAGGACGGGATGTCGCCGCGCAGCTTTATCGCGACGCACTGCTGCCCCCCTTGGCTTCGAGACAAGCTTCAGCAATTCGATAGACACTGGAACGTCCCCAAGTACGCTCTAGAAAAAAAATGCCTGTGAGTTTGCTTTCTCGCAAAGCACGTGCCGCGATGCGCGGTGGGACAAGAATCATAACGTTTCACATGTTTACTGGGCACATCGTTCCTTTTTTTTTTTAACTTTATTATGAGCTCCGTCATTCGCTCAAAGACGTTCTTTGTTTTTAGATTGTGTGCCTTTCGCGGTGCTCATTTGGACTCTTTGAACCACACAGATTTGTTTATAGCGGGAGATGTGCTATATGCCAGTGTTGAATAAGCCTGTCTGAACGGTCTGAACCATGGACAGCTGTCCGACTCGCGATAGTTCATTGGAGACGCCTCGCGCAGCACACACTTTGAACAGAATCTGCTCTCCGAACTTCGTGTGTGGCAGTATGAGTATCGCTGTAGTGTTTGTTACATGGTGACCGGGATCCGCAAAGCGCGGGATTAACGAGTGCCTGTGTCATTTTGCAACCCACAAACAAAACAAAAACTTTACCTTCAGTATAGGTTTGGATTTGGGCTAGTTGGTTGAACATGTTTAGGAGTTAAAAGCGCTCTGTGGTGTGTGTCTCTCTTACCTTCAGTACCGACAACAGTCCATACCCTGGGACAACTTTCTGTGGCAATTTCGACGAGAAAAGAAGTACGCTAGCGCAGCTTTAATCGGCGATTCAGTACGCGCGCCTGCATCTTTGACTGCGTAGCCACAAAAACTAATCCCCGAGAATTGTGGCAATAGAAATATGCAGAACATTGTCACTATATTAAAAAAAAAAAAAAAAGAACTTCCGCTAGTGGGCGCAGACACTTCAATGGCTGCGAGGAAAAGTGTCGAACTAAGGACCTGTTATGTACCGGCGCCACCGGCAGGTGGACTAAGCAGCCGATGCCGCGAGCCTCGTGACAATCGCGTGCTAGTGAGAGCTCGGGCACTTGTTCCTGGACCGAGAACCGCGATGGACGCACCGTCCACACTCTAAAGCTGACAGTAAAGCTTGTATTTATCAATTGGCGTCGCCAATTGATAAATACAAGCTTTGTTCCTGGACCGAGAACCGCGATGGACGCACCGTCCACACTCTAAAGCTGACAGTAAAGCTTGTATTTATCAATTGGCGTCGCCAATTGATAAATACAAGCTTTACTGTCAGCTTTAGAGTGTGGACGGTGCGTCCATCGCGGTTCTCGGTCCAGGAACAAGTGCCCGAGCTCTCACTAGCACGCGATTGTCACGAGGCTCGCGGCATCGGCTGCTTAGTCCACCTGCCGGTGGCGCCGGTACATAACAGGACCCTAAGTCATCGTGATAGGAAAGCCGACGCCGAGTCTGCAATTTGACTTAGAGTTACTACAATTCTGAAATCGCGCAATAAATTATTGAATGTATAAAGCGCAAAGGGACAGACGAGAACATGAAGTAGACGGGACAACGCTATACTCACAACTGCCGTTTTAATAAAAAAAAAAAAAAAATCTCAGCAAAGAGAGGAGCGATAGAAGTTTAACGGAACACAGAAAGGACATATGAACTTTTGCATTTTATATTTTTAGTAAGTTGAAATAACTATCCCACCTTTAAGTAATAACGCTTTCGGTTCAAGGTCGAAGAATCTCCGTGCACTCGAAGCAAAATTTCAGTCTTCGTTAGGAGCGTGCCATAGTGACCTTCGTTCGTTTGACAACCACCAAATGTTTCTTTAATTACATTTCATTGTCTGTCCCCGTGTTAACGTGCATCGCAACAGATAAACCGCTCTACACAATCAGGGCACCACACCGCACCTGCTGTCAGGATTCTGACAGCGCAGTGCCCGAAATCATTGTCGAAGTACTGTGATTCCAGATCAGTTAAGTAAAAAATCAAATAAAGCTTCTTTATGCTTTTCTACGAACAAGAAATATTGAGGCTTTTGTGAGTTTTCACAAAATATCTTTTGTCCCAGTTCAATCACTGTTCTATAATGTTGAACAAGAAACAATTGTATCCACACTGCCGTCCATACATCTACGAGTTAGGCACATTCATGCCCTTCGATTTGGGTAGCAAAGACAAGGTACATCATGTTGTTTCTCTCCATCCTCCCGACCCACCCTATTCACAGAGGAAAGAAAATATGTGCACACGGTTTTTAATTGCATACTTCGACAGCTAACGCCCGAGTATTTAAAAACCCATTTCCCAAATGCAAAAAAAAAAAAAAAAAAATGGTCGGAGTGTACAACGAGGTTCGCAAGAGAGAAAAACAGGGTTCAGGCGCATTACCCGGCGCGCGCGAATTTCGTGCTGTGTTTTAGGACACCGAGTTCTCACCTTGGCTGAGCGTGAGGACGAACAGGACTAGCGACAGCGCGGGCTGGGTTCTGGACGAAGCCATGTTTTCCGTTCGTGTGCCGGTCCCGGAGTACGGTTCCAAATATCAGGAGGAGCGGTGTAGCACGTGCGCTTGAAAGGCGACCCAGAAGCGGCGACGAGCAGCGCTCCGTTCCCAGCACGGCATCAAAAGCGAAACTGTTCGCGGGACTCCCTCACGGTCACGCTTAAAAAGTGCCTCTCCGCCGCGCGACTGCGCTTTGACGTCAGGGACGTCACCCGCCGCACGCCGCACACGCGCGCGCGGACGTCCCTCCGCCGGAGAGAGGGACAGGGAGAGCAGGAGAAGACGCTACCACGTGACGGATCCCGACCAATCAGACGCAAAGCAGACGACACCGGTTATTGTCGTCTGCTCGCTCGCGCTCTCGCGGGCCGACCGCGGCGCGCGGAAGATAAAAATACGCGCACTCTGGGGAGAATCGAGAATCGGGATGGTGCCCCATACTTCTGACATCCGAGGAAAGACGGGCTGGCTTTTGTTCTAGCGCCGCAGAAAACAACTTTTCTTACTTTTCATGTTTTGTTTTTGTTTTGAGTACACAGTCCTTTGTCTTCGTAGAAGACTTATGCAGTCGTCCACTTTCACACAGGTGGATCTCAACACCACTTTCATTTTGTTTTTCCTGTTTGTATTTCGATATTTCTTTTTTATCTTACGACTCTCTGTTTTTACGATTATTTTATGGGAGTCGAGGCTTTTAATACCAGAAAATGATATCTAGGATTTCATATTTCTTAACGTAAAAGAAGGGCACGCAAAAATTATTATTTCGAGCTGTTTGTTTATTTGTATTTTGGGCGGGTGGGATTTTGTATGATTTAATTGAACGTTTCTTTGCGCGTTAATTCTTGATTTCTGTACCACACAGATAATGCTCGTAGAAAACATCAAATTATAGACAAACGGTAAATAACATTATGTTCGGGATTATTTTTGCGGGTGAGGCTCGATTTAAGTCAGCGCAATAAAATTGGTCTGATTTTAAATCACTATTTCAATCGTGAATGAAATCACGATTTAAATCAACTTGATTTTTATTTTTCCGCCCTCTTGAGAAGTATGTTTCCACCTCATAGCTTCCTTGGTTTGCGGTGAAGTAGTGCAACAATCGAAATTTTGGGGTTTTCTCGGGCGTGTGTGTGTGTGCGTGCGTGTGTGTATCGTATGTGTGTGTGTGTGCGAGAGTGTGTGTGCGTGTGTCCGCGGTGTGTGTAGCGTGTGCGTGCGTGAGTGTATGTGTGAGGTGTGTGTTCGCACGTGGTGCGTTTCTGGCTGGTGCGGGTGATGTGTGTGCAGTGTGCGTACATGTGTGTGGTGTACGTGTATATGTTTGCTCGCGCGTGATGTGTGCGCGTGTGTTGTATGCGCGTGGTGTGTGTGTATGTGTGTAGGAGTGGGTGTTTTAGCGCGTGTGGTATGTGTGTGTGGGTGGTTTGTGCGTAATGTGTATATATGTGTGTGTATTTGTGCACGTGTGGCGCGCGCGTGGTGTACGTGCGTGTGGTGGGCGTGCATGTTGCGTGTGTGTTTGTAGTGTATGGGAGTGTTCTGTGTATGTAGTGTGTGTGTGTGTGTCACACCTAAGGAAGGCATCTGACACGGGCAAACAAATAACGCTGAATGAATTTTGACTACCTCGGTATTCTTTCTTGCGCAACATACATACATAACACAGAGGATTTTGCACCATAATTGGTCTTCGTTCGAATCCAGTGAGCTGGCGCTCTCAGTTAACTTGATTCAAGCCCGCCAGCTGGTGCACCAAAGGCTAAGCCAGATGAGAACATCATGCGGTTTCCAAACCGCGCTTGCGTGTGAACAGGGGTTGAAGGGGGGGGGGGGGGTGGGGGGGGGGGGCGCAGGTAAAAGTAAGGGGGATATTGCTCGTGCAAAGGTTACAGAATGCATGGTTCCTTCTGAATGAAATAAACAGGCGGGTCGAACACAAGTACGGTAGAAATGTCCGGAAAAGAAAGAAATGAAGTACCGAATCAGAAATTGGGTAACAATCGTAACATGCTAAAGTAACTTCCCCTATTGTCGATAAACCAGGAAACCGAAAAAAATATATACTACGCGGAAATTGCAAACGTGCCTTCCATCGAAAGATTACAATGTCCTTGAGGTAAACTCGCTCATACAACTCCATTTTCTAGGAGGCTGCAATTTTCGCTCGTTCCGACCTTTCTCAAATTTCTTGTCGCGTTTTCTTACATAAAAATGAAGTAAATAGGAGTCTGTAGCAGCCGAAGGGAGCAACTCGATCTTCGCGCGGGAACATCGTCAGGATTTTGTCTCCGCGATCATCCTCAATTCATAACTCCGTCCGTTTTGTTAGTTTACTCAAAATCGAGGGAGGTTTAAAAAAACATCTTCTGAGACTTCCTTTTTTTTTTCTCTCTTTTTTTTTTTTTTTTTTTTGCAACCAGCTTGTTCGGTAGGTGTACGTTTTCTTCGACGCTGTATAGTTTACTGGACCATTTTCGTGTTGAACGTTTAGAGGCCAGGTTGAGCATTTTACCGCTTTGTTCAAGAGGGTGGTCGTCTAGAAGTGACGGAAACCCATGGAGCTCGAAATGAAATTCGTTCTTTCGTTAGGATGATCAAAGTCTGGAATGCATTAGAAGAATGTATACAGTTTGAGCTGGAAATGCCGGAACTTTCTTTTAGTTATTGTTCTCTCACAGAAATAACGCCTTCTAGGTGCTGCGGGATTTTTGTTAGTAAAGAACAGAGAAGAAAGAACGAGGGGAAGCCACAGGCAAGACACGACAGGCGCAGTGCTCGTCGCAGCGCTTACCTAGAAACAAGCTTTCAGTTTGACCTCTCAAACGACCCTAGCTTCCTCTATATTCGTTGTCACACACAAACACAAACAAAAAAAAAAAGGAAGTTTCTTTTTCTTCATTATTTGAGTGCTGCACGAAGCATAGTCCTTACAAGATTTAGTTGTCGAAGAAAGAAACGATGCCTTTGGCGTTTGAATCGTGCACGCTTCTTAATAAAACATTATAAAGCTAATCTAAAAAGCACCTATATATAGCTTAATTCAACGCGTGAAGCCGAAAATGCGTAGGAGCCAGAATTGTTTTACACTGTGGTTCTTGAGGTGAATACGCGTATCTCTATTCCTCTAGTCATACCTTCCACACGTTCCAGGACGTGTTTTTTTTTTTTTTTTTTTTTTTTTCTTTGCGAGTCAGTGCCATCGGTACGGAAGAAATAAAAGAAGACGACGTTCGAGGCGTCCCTACAGTCAACGGCGGCTTAATAAACGCTGGGTGTGGCTCGTTACGATTACACCTTCTACTTTCTGATTCGACGCATACTTTCTTCTCGTCTGTAGTGCCGATACGTCACTGGCTGCGATGAGAAGAGGCGTGGAACTCTCGCCACGCCGCAGCCGTTCTTTAGCTGTCAGCAGGCTCGTACGGTCTACCCTTTATTACAAGTAATACAATTGCTTTTAATTGATCCCATGTTTGAAGTAATTATGTAACCGTTCGAATACATTTACTAGTAAATAATCACGCCGGTAATTCGATTTACCGAGGTACCGAAATTACTTGCAGCGGTTACTTTTCTTCCCGCCCCTTTCCTGATGGGCGGTCTTTGTAAAAGTTTTCCACCGAGGAATCCTCGAACTGAGTCTCGGACAGAAGAATGGTTGAGCGAAATTCATGGATTAAGAAGATAATTAGTTTATAATTTGGTGATTTTACTCCATTCGTGAACAGAACAAAACGCCCACCGTTTTCCGAACCGGCAAAAAAAGAAAAAAAAAATCTGCCTTTCTGGTAATCCGATGTAATCGGAAATGTAACGGTTACTTTAACGAGTAACGGCCAATTACTTCTCTTCTCGTGTAATCGAGTAATTCAATCAAATGCGTTTAACTAAAAGTAATTTCATTGTAATCGATCACTTCTTTTTTTTTTTTTTTTCATCAGTGGCTGTCAGTAACTTTAAATATTCCTCAGTTCCGGTTCATGCAAGAGAAATCGCCCTTCCCCTTCCCGGTGTTATTTTAAGTCTCGTTTCTCTCGAAATCGTAGGACGTGAACGTGCCAGGTCAAACCATAGAGTAATTACAATAAACGCTAGAGGCTCAGCTGGCGCTAGTGTGCTGTTGCATTTTGAAGCAGACAGCAAGCAGTCAGAAATTGACTTCCGGTGATGCATTTCTATGGGAAAAAGCGAGTGCATTTTCTCTCTGCGCTCGATTATAAGAGCAAATATCACTAATTGTTTGCACGTAGTACGTACTAGGCACATTGTAACATTTTTCAGTCACGCAGACGAAATAATTGGTCAGTTACAGTACTTTTATTTGAAATTCGTGGTATGAAAAACGGTGCTAAAACCGCTTCGTACGTGTATTTATGTGCATTGTCGGACACTGTTAGCGCGAACACGGCGTCGACGCTTGCCAGCATGGGGGATATATGTGCCAAACGATCGAAGGACATGTGGAAAACCAAGAGAGACGGCAAGAACTACGCAGTAACACTAGATAAGTAACTCCTTGTGCACGCAGACGATCCAAATAAATTGAAAGACACGTAATATAGTCAGATTTGCAATATATAAGTACTGCTTTATTCTTTCTGGTCATGAATATGTGCGAAGATGCTTGTTCTGGGTTCAAATCATCACCCGCACGCTACAAATGTTTGCAAATAGGAGGAGCCAGGGAGCAGGTGCCCGATAAAAACTGCCCGACAAAGAAAATAATAAAAGTACACACCTTTCGTTGCTCACGTGCTTTATTTTTGCGTTCGAATGTTTCCTTAACCAATCGTAAAGGTTCACACGGAGTCATTTTCATCCAATGACAGGACGGGCATATTAGCAATATATAAGCACCACCGAAATGCTAGCAAACCTTGAACACACTCTACATTCCTTTCGATCGTTAGTTTGCTTAGAATCGTCGCTCGTTTTCACATACCTTCCTTGAAACAGAGGTTTAGACCTGAAATAGAGCGAAGTTTAACATCGCTCAGTGGTAGAGAAAAATGCTGTAACTAAAGCAATTACACTTTCACAGTACCAATAAAGGTACATACCACCCGGTACAACCGAAATGACGAAAGTTATTCTTGTTATTTTCTGGCGAAGAGACAAAATTCACGCGCGTTTTCCCATAGAAATACACAGGGAGGCTGGAAATGTAGACTGCATGCTGTCTGCTTCAATTTGCAACCGGAAGTCCCGTAGACACTAGCGCCAGCTGAGCCTCTAGCGTTTATT